CTCCTTCTGAACTTCCCTCGCCCCTTTCTGCTGCCAATGCGCCCAGCGCCTGCATGCTTTCCTTGGGGATGGCTTCCACAGGAGCAGGGAGGTAGGCGGCCGGCCAAGGCAGCAGCTGAGAGCGGTCGCTCTGCAGGCCTCCCCTCCTCCGGCCACGCTCCCCGCCCGGGCGCTGTCTGCTTGCTCCTGCCACCAGTGCGCAGCAGAGCCTGGCTCCTCAGTCCTCTCCGCTCTCTCACCCGCACCGCCGCGGCTCCTTTGATTTCAGACTCGGGGAATTCGAAGGTCTTCCCCGCGCCCACTGTCCCTGTGCCAGCAGAGAAGGGCTCTGTGGAGGCCAGGGGACCCACCTCCCCCGCCACCAGCCACACAGGTGAGAACTCGGCCTCTCAGCGAGTCTTCCTTGTAGCCCATGCGGACCCGGGCTGCTCCTGTGGGCCGCCCTCCAGGACTGCTCACCTCAGTGCTTAACCCAGAGCAGAGCTGAGCAACAGAGCTGAGCTGAGGCCTGCACACCACCTGGAGCAAGCCAGCCCCGTGTGGGGGGTGAGGCCGGCCCTGTGTGGGGGGTGAGGCCGGGGCTGTGTGGGGGGTGAGGCCGGCCCCATCGGGGAGGCAGAGGAGGCCGGGCCCCATGGGGGGGGGCAGAGGAGGCTGGGCCCGTGTGGGGGGTGAGGCCGGCCCGGGTAGGAAGCAGAGGAGGCCAGGCCAGCCCTCCCCAGTGCAGGACAAGCTCTCATCACAGAGCACAGGCTGAGGGAGGGACCAGGACGGACGCTCCTGGCGCAGCAGACCCAGCTCTGCACCTCTGTGCTATGTCGGGGGCTCCTCTAGACCTCCAGGGAAGCCCATGGCAGACCGTGAAGATGCGGAAGACGTCATTTGAGAGGCCAGCGCCCCGGCCTCCACTCTGTGGACAGCAGAGGAGCCTCGCTGCTGCCTCCAGCGTCTGCAGGCCCCAGGGCTGGGCTGGCCCTGTGTGGTGAGCCCACAGTTAGGACTCTGCGGCCGAGCGGCCCCGAGTCAGCCACTGCAGCTCTGAAGGCGCTTCCCCCTGAAAAGGAGCTCAGTACCCTGTGTCCACTGTGCCCCACGGCTCACAGCCTCGGCCCCCGCAGAGCACTTCTTACGTGGCTGACTGGACTGACAGGGGAGACACCTTGCAGGGGCTACTCTACTCCACCTGGCCACTGCCAAGACCACACACTTACTTTCAACAGATGTAACAATGTAGCCATACACAGGGCTAGCCATTTACTCATAGAAGAGACGTGAAAAAGCAAGGGTATTGGAAATCTCAAAAGGAATGCAATCAATTCCCAATATGAAATACCATAGAAGAAACTCAAAATAATTGTCCTAAGGAAACAGTGGAATTCAACACACTATTATGTGCTGTCAGTGGTTCATGCCTGTCATCCTAGCTACTCTGATGGCTGAGATCTGCAGATTCTGGTTCAAAGCCAGCACAGGCAGGAAAGTTCATGAGACTCTTATCTCTAATTAACTACCCACATGTGAAAGTGGAGTTCTGGTTCAGGTGGCACAGCACGAGCCTTGAGAACAAAGCTAAGGAACAGCACCAAGCTCGGAGCTCAGTCTCCAGGGTCTGCAGACAGACAAGCCCAAAAATCCTTGAAGCTGAATAAATCAGTGAATTGAACAAAATATCAAACAGAGAGCTTCAATAAGAGGCCAGATCAAACAGAATAAACAGTTTTTGAACTTGAAAGCAGACCTATTGAAATATCAGAGAAGAGAAAAGACGAAATGAACCTCAGAAAGAATGAGGAAGCTAATGGAGACTATGGGACACCATTAAGTGAACAGATATCCACGCTGCAGGACTTCCAGAGGGAGAAGAGTTGGAGAAAGGGACAGAAAGCCCACTTGATCCAGTTAGATCTGAAAATTTCCCAAGTGTTGGGAGAAATAAGGATATCCAGATACAGACACTTCCCAATGGACTCCACCCAAAGGTCTCCCCCAAAGCACGTTACCATCAAAGTGTGGAGATAAAGGACAAAGAGAAGTCTGAAAGCAGCCACCTACAAGGGAAGTTCTATCAGCTCAGACCTCCCAGAGCAGGAAGAGACAGGGTGACACATTCCCAGTGCTGAAAGAAGTGCCACATTAACCTACCAAAACTAAGAGAGATAAAGTCCCTAACAGGCAGAAGCTGAGGACATTTATCACCATGACACCATCCTTATAAGATGCTTAGCCAAGTGTCACCACTGCAGACATAAGGACAATGACTGTACCAGAAAAACACATGAGATGTAAAACTCACTCTTAGGGGCAAGTTTAATATGTGTTTACTGAGTTATAGTCAAGCTCATTCTTCTCTAGGACCATAACCATTCTATATAATTCTCTCAAATCACTATGATGAAGGTTAAAGTTCAAAATGGCCAAGATACCTGCAGCTAGAAGTACTTGTTAAGAACACACAATACACAAGTATGTAAGTCAAAATGACAAAAAATATAAGTTGTGAGGGGGTAGATAAAATTCAAAGTATTTGTCCGTGCCCAAGAATCTTCACGTCAGTTCCGTGGTAATCAGCAAGAATTGCACCAACTTTTCAAACTCAAAAGAGACAGGCCCCAAGGCACAGAGAGGCTCATCGGCACAGAAGGCCAGCAGCTCACCAGGTAATCAAGGAGGGGAAGAAGGCAGCAGAGACAACCGGAGAACAAGAACGCACGGCAGGAATGGCCCTTCCTCCCCACCAGAAAGCCTGAAGGCAGCTGGTTTGAACTCTCCAGTTAGAAGATGGAGAGCCACTGACCGGATAAGGAAACATGGCCCCACCTGTAGGCTGCCTAGTTACTCACCAACCCTGTGAGGACAGAGACTGAGAGTGAGAGAATGGATGGATACTTTGTGCCCACAACCGACCGCCAGCAGGAAAAGCTACACTTGAACTTCATGAAATGGATCTCAAGCCCAAACTGCAGAAGCAAATTAAAAATATTATTATGTTCCCAAAAAACTATCAATTCAGAAAATGATATGATGATTGCAAATGCAAATATACAAAGCAGATATTATTCAATTATTCAATCTATAAAGAAAGACATTGTAATGCAATAATAACAGGAGATTTGAAAAGTCACTTATAGCAATGAACAGGCCATTCAGATTGAAATCAGCACAGATTCACTGGACTTAAATGCACTCTGCACTAAGCAGACAGATAGACATTATTGAACCTTTTATCCAACACCTGTAGAAAGTACCTTCTCACAACACATGAAAATTTTTCCAGTATTTATCTATTTGCTAAGGCCAGTGATGATCTTAGCAAATTTAAGAAGATTTAAATCATATCTACTATTCCTCTGACTACAGCAATGTAAGACTAGAAGTCTGTATCAAAAGGCTCTTCAGGAATTATACAAATGGAAACCAGCCTAATCCTGAATAATCCATAGGCTATTCAAGAAACTAAAATAAAAATTTAAGTTTTCAAGACAAATGAAAATGGACACAAAGCAAACCCAAAATCTATGGAATACAGCAAAAGCAGCTCTAAGCCAGACGCTTACACCAGCCAATGCTTTCAGGAAAGACAGTTTCAGGTGGGAACAATAGAGGTTTCAGACATTTGTAGCCATCTATCCAATCTTCAAAGGAGCAAAGAGCTCAAATACACATTGTTCCTAGAAGACATGCACGCAAGTGGGATGCATGCTTTAAAATAAACTCAGCATCACTCAGCATCAGAGAGTATGAGTTAAAGCCATAATGAGACATCTTCTGACAGCTGCCAGAATGGCTGTTAAACGAATGGTGAGGTAGAGGAAGGAAACTTTGTACGCTCTGATGGGAGTTCACATTAGCAGTATTCACCATAGCCAAGAAATGAAGAGAACCAATACATGGATGAATAAAGAACTCAAGATGTCATGTGATGCTATGTAATCATTAAGAATGAGCCCGAAAGACATTTCATTATATGAAACAAGCCAGGTACAAAAAAAGTATCACATAATTTCGCTTGTAGTTAGAAGTTAAATTAGCCAAGCACCTAGCAGGGAAGGCTGCACCAGCTCAGCTAGACAGGAATGAATATTGCATGATATCACGGCCACCGTTAATAGCAATATCTTACACATCACTGAGAGATTTTCCATGTTCTTGGCACAAAACATCACAAATTTGTGAAGTAGTATATGTGTTAATTAGCTCAATCTAGACACTCTACAACATATGCATAAACTAAAACAACCTGTTACATATGGTAAAGATATACAAATGTTACATATGATAAAGATATACAAATGTTTTATCACTTAAACATTTTAAAGAGAGAAGAGGAGGAGGAAGGCAAAGGCCCTAGTTTTCGATTGACTCCTTGTGTGTTGAAAATCTGTGGCACAGTAACATGTTAGCTCTGTTTCCTAAATTATAGAAGTGAATGCCCTTGAATATTGAGAAGCCTTGACCTCTACGAGCCTCCTAGAGCCCGGCCAGGGTCCCTGTTGGAGCCAGGGTGTCAAGAGCAGCAGGTTACGGGCGAGGCAGGGCCCTGAGGATGGAGGGCAGGGTGGGGAGGACACGGCGCCCTTCCTCCCCAGACTGAGGCAGGTCGCCGGCTCCGTGGAAGAGGCCAGAGCAGCCTCACACCTCCAGGGTGGCCACAGCCTGGCCACGACTAAACCAAAGAGGAACACCCTCCCTCCCCCCTCCGCATCTCCCTGCAGGGTCTCCTGGGCACTCCACCTCAGGATTGAGCTAGTCAAGGCCTGGGAACAGAGAGAGAAACGGGGAGACTCGACAGGGTCTCCAGAGGAGACCTGGTCATGAGTCCCTAACCAACTGACAGCCTGGCCGGGGCTGGGCATGCTCGGGGACACAGCCCTGGGACCGCCCGGCGACCCGCACAGCGCTGTGCACAGCTCCGGCCCCAGATGCCAGGACACCGCACGCCCCATACGCAGCTCCCCGGAGAGCGGCCCTAACCCTTTCCCACCCCTCTCCTTTCAGAGAGCCCAAGCTGCAGCTGCAACCCCCAATTCTACCTGCTGCACCCGCCCCTGCAGGGCCTGTGGTTCCGGAAGGAGGCCAACTTCACCTGCCTCGTGGTCGGGGAGGACCTGGTGGACGCCCGCCTCTCCTGGGAGGTGGCCGGGAAGGTCGCCACCAGTGACGTGAAGCAGCAGTCTCTGGAGCGACTGGCCAACGGGTCCCAGAGCCAGAGCAGTCACCTGGTCCTGCCTAGGTCCACCTGGGAGGAGGGGAGCAACGTCAGCTGCATCCTGACGCTTCCCTGCCTCGCATCCCCGCGGGAGCTGACAGCAGCGAAGGAGCAGGGTAAGGCAGGGTCTGGGAGGCACGCCCGGGCCCCACCCACCCTCCCCAGACCAGTCAGCAGCAGAGCGCCCCCTGCCACGCCAGCCCCCTGCTTCTCTCCCCACACCACCCGCCCATCCCGACCAGCTCCACCTGACCCTTCTCCCCAGGGGCCCGGGCGCCCATCATCCTCTCCGTCAGCCTGCTGACTACACCGGCCCCTCTGGAGACAGCTTCGTGGCTCCTGTGCGAGGTGTCAGGCTTCTCCCCCCACCACGTCCTCCTGATGTGGCTGGAGGGCCAGCAGGAGGTGGGCCCTGACCGGTTTGCCTCTGCCGAACCTGGGCCTCAATCCGGGAGCACCATGTTCCAAACCTGGAGCGCCCTGCGCATCCCCCACCTCCTCAGCCCTTCCCCGGCCACCTACACCTGTGTGGTCAAGCATGAGGCCTCCCGCACCATGGCCAACGCCAGCAGCAGCCTGGGCGCCAAGGGTGAGTTGTCTTCCATCAGGGAGGGCAGGGCAGGCACAGCTGGGGGTGGGGGGAGGGAGAGGAGTCCTTAGCTCTGTCTGTGGAGGAGTCCTTAGCTCTGTCTGTGGAGGAGTCCTTAGCTCTGTCTGTGGAGGAGGAGCACTTATTAGCTCTGTCTGTGGAGGAGTCCTTAGCTCTGTCTGTGGAGGAGGAGCACTTAGCTCTGTCTGTGGTGGAGGAGCACTTAGCTCTGTCTGTGGAGGAGTCCTTAGCTCTGTCTGAGGAGGAGTCCTTAGCTCTGTCTGTGGAGGAGTCCTTAGCTCTGTCTGTGGAGGAGTCCTTAGCTCTGTCTGTGGAGGAGGAGCACTTAGCTCAGTGGAGGAGGAGCACTTAGCTCTGTCTGTGGAGGAGGAGCACTTAGCTCAGTGGAGGAGAAGCACTTAGCTCTGTCTGTGGAGGAGTCCTTAGCTCTGTCTGTGGAGGAGGAGCACTTAGCTCTGTCTGTGGAGTAGGAGCACTTAGCTCTGTCTGTGGAGGAGTCCTTAGCTCTGTCTGTGGAGGAGCACTTAGCTCTGTCTGTGGAGGAGTCCTTAGCTCTGTCTGTGGAGGAGGAGCACTTAGCTCTGTCTGTGGAGGAGGAGCACTTAGCTCTGTGGAGGAGGAGCACTTAGCTCTGTCTGTGGAGGAGGAGCACTTAGCTCTGTCTGTGGTGGAGGAGCACTTAGCTCTGTCTGTGGTGGAGGAGCACTTAGCTCTGTCTGTGGTGGAGGAGCACTTAGCTCTGTCTGTGGAGGAGGAGCACTTAGCTCTGTCTGTGGAGGAGGATCACTTAGCTCTGTGGAGGAGGAGCACTTAGCTCTGTCTGTGGAGGAGGAGCACTTAGCTCTGTGGAGTAGGAGCACTTAGCTCTGTGGAATAGGAACACTTAGCTCTGTCTGTGGTGGAGGAGCACTTAGCTCTGTCTGTGGAGGAGGAGTCCTTAGCTCTGTCTGTGGAGGAGTCCTTAGCTCTGTCTGTGGAGGAGGAGCACTTAGCTCTGTCTGTGGAGGAGGAGTCCTTAGCTCTGTCTGTGGAGGAGGAGTCCTTAGCTCTGTCTCTTAGCTCTGTCTGTGGAGGAGGAGCACTTAGCTCTGTCTGTGGAGGAGGAGCACTTAGCTCTGTCTGTGGAGGAGTCCTTAGCTCTGTCTGTGGAGGAGTCCTTAGCTCTGTCTGAGGAGGAGTCCTTAGCTCTGTCTGTGGTGGAGGAGCACTTAGCTCTGTCTGTGGAGGAGTCCTTAGCTCTGTCTGTGGAGGAGGAGCACTTAGCTCTGTGGAGGAGGAGCACTTAGCTCTGTCTGTGGAAGAGGAGCACTTAGCTCTGTCTGTGGAGGAGGAGTCCTTAGCTCTGTCTGAGGAGGAGTCCTTAGCTCTGTCTGTGGAGGAG